CTGCGCGCGCGCCGCAGACCTAGGGCGCCGGGACAGGCATTTGCGTAGGAGCCGCCCCCTAGTCTGAGGGTCCCTCCCCACTGAAAGTCTGGTTTGGAAATGACTTGAGCGCCGGGGTGCCTACCAATAAACGACTGGGATTTGTCATCCGGACACCACACGGCTCTGTCGCCTCCCTTGACCCTGTCCTAGGGTTTTCTGGGAGGTGTCCCGTAGGCCTGTTCTCCACCCCGGAGCTCCGAGGGTAAGGCCCTCTTTTTCCAGTTAGAGTGGGACCCACAGGGCGAGGCTTTGTTCCCTCCCTCAGCTTGTTCGGGGTTCCCAAGGGAAAAGTGGATCTGCGTCAGAGTACATCTCATCAGCGGTTCCTCTGCAGCTCCCGGGACCCGCAGAGGCCCGGAGGCTGCGGGAAAGCCTACGACGCCTCCGGGTGGGGGGGCGAGGTGGGGGAAGAAGCGAGGTAGGTAAAGTGCGCGCGCGGGCCTGAGTGGAAAGAAACGGAGGAGAGAGCTAGGATGGCCAAAATGGGCACAGCTGAGGCGCCCCTGCCATTTGTGTATGTGCGCTCTCGCGTTCACCACAGTCCTCATCACTGTCCGTTAATTACGACCACCCTCTTATTTTCCTTTTACTTGACCGTCTGGCCCGGTATGCATTTGAGATTTCAGTCTGTGTAAATCGTCATGTGGTTTGTGAGAACCTCTTCCTGTGGAGATCTCTCATTGGACAAAAGAGGTCCCTGCAAACAGACCCCTAGGAGTGGGGAAGAGTGATGGTAACTGAAATGGCCTCCTTTACTATGTATTGGGGGACTCAGAGAAGGATCTGGAAAGATGAGGCTGGGAGAAGTCGGTGTGGGGTCTGCATTATGTGATCCTATATAATAAAAGGCTAATGTGCAAATCAACCAGTAGGCTGAACACTGGTTGCTATGATGCACATTGACCACCAGGGGGCAGACGCTCAACACTGGCGCTTCCCCCTGGTGGTCAGTGCGCTCCCACAGGGGGAGCATTGCTCAGCCAGAAGCCAGGCTCATGGCTGGCAAGCACAGCAGCGGTGGCAGGAGCCTCTCCCGATTCCGCAGTGCTAAGGATGTCCGACGGGCCTAAGCTGGCAGTTGGACATCCCCTGAGGGCTCCCGGACTTTGAGATTATGCAGGCCGAGCTGAGGGACCCCCCCCCCCAGTGCACGAATTTCGTGCACTGGCCTCTAGTAATGTTATAATCTCTCTCAGGATGTGGCTATGACTTTGGAGAGAGAGTAGGAAGAACTGTTTAGTAGGTTCCAGAATTTCAGACTGAAAACATTTATTGATCTTGGGATATCAAGGAAGTAGCTCTAGGGTAAATTTTAGCTTCATGGGGGTGGGTGGAAGGTATTACCCGAGACAGACCACCAGAGAAAGGGGAAAGGGAGTTCTTTGAGACTTTGGAACATATTTCCTGGCTTTGTGCTTGGTTGTGGATGGTCAGGCCTTTTGGCCTTTTCACATCCTGTCACCTGGATCCTTATCACAGATCAAGGGACTCAATTCTCAGTGCTTTGGGCTCAGAAAGACCTCATGAGGTGAAGAATAGAAGAGTGCTCACACCGCTGAATAATATTCCTGGTTAGCCATTGTGCCAAGACTTTTGCATAGGTTTATCTCCTTCCCACCATTCTTCAAGGTGGCCCTTACCTCTTTCTTACAGATAAGAAACCGAGACTCAGTTGCAGCATTCTGCATAAATTCACCAGTATCAAACATACATTCTTTCCTCACCACATGATTCTACTTCTTAGAGTAAGGAAATTCTTGAAGTCTCATTAATTTCCAAGTAGCCAGAATAAGGCTAAGTGGTTTTCAGAAGAGTTTTGGCCAACAACAACATAGCAGACTGGTTTGTTATTGAAAGAACATTGGATATAGGGTCAGAGGTGATGGGCTTAAATTGTGGCTTCTGCCTTTACTAAGCATGTGGAGATAATAGCACCTACCTCCTCAAGGTTATGAAAGATTTAGTTGATGCATGTAAAGGTGTGTTGTAAGCTGTAAAGTATAAGGAGCTACTGCCATCATTGTCTTCTTTCAAATAAAGGGGCACTGCTTCACATATACCATCAACAGGCTATGAGTTGGGTTTAGTGGTGAAATTACAGAAAATTATACACCACATCCTTGTACAGACTGCCCTTTGGGAGAGAGAATACAACCAACCTTGATTGATTGTGGTTCTAGGGGTCAGTGTGAGTGTGGCTCACAGTTGTCCCACTGCAATATGGAAACAACCACAGGTAATTAGGAGATCTTACTTCTGGGCTATATTTCAATCTCATTTCAACCATGTTATTCAGGACTACTAAGAATCAGCAAAATGCCATGGCCGGAGTTTCACTTTTCTTTCTCCTTCCATCCACCAATAGAAGCAGTACTCCAAAGGCAAAACACACATAGAACAGAAGAAAGTATAGAAAAGACCCAAATGATCCAACAAAGAGGTAGTGGACTGGACAATCTAGAGAGGGCTGCAGTTTGCATTTACTGAACAGTTTTCTGATATTCCCAACTGAGATTCCCCCAGGGGACTTATACCTCCCCTTTCTTGGCAACCCACCTCATGGGCCAAGATGTGGCTTTAGTAAAAGCTGTACGACAGAGGAGTGATCTTGGCGGAGCCTCAGACCACAAGTGTTCCAGCTGGCCAGGTTTCCTGAGGGATTGCCCTGTCTTCATCTTCCTCTGATGTCAGACTTGGACACTGCAGACACATTGGTGTGTCATCCCCAGGTTCTCCCTCATACCATATCCTCGGTGGCCTCTCTGTGGCATTTTGCAGTGCTCACCACTCTCCTTTGTTTCAAGGATTCCATTTTCAGCCGTCTGCTTCTCTCTCTCACTCTCTCTCTCTCTCGTCAATAGAAACATATCCTTGGGTGAGGATTAAAAAAAATAACCTCAAATGTTATATATTATGTGTAACATTTTAGAAATGACAAAATTATAGTGATAGAGGACATATCAATGGTTAATGGGTTAGGTTGTGGAGAGGATGAGACTATAAAGGAGTAATAAAGAGGTTTTCTTTTTGTGGTGATGAACAGTTCTGTTACTCAAATCTATACCTGTGATAAAAATTCATGGAACGAGAAAGAATGAGAGCAAGATAAACTGAGAAACCTAGTGCAATCTAAATTCAAATAGGGTCTGTAGTTGAATTCATTTGTTGTATCAGTGTCATTTTGATAATGTATTATGGTTATGTAAGATGTTATCATGGAGAGCAAGCTGGGTGAATAGTATCTGAGAACTTTCTGTACTATTTTTGCAACTTATTGTGAGTCTTAAACTATTTCAAAGTAAGAAATAATTCTTTGAAAAAATATATGTGTTTATACAATTTTTATATCTGTATATAAATAGTCAAATGTTCTTTGGAGATACATGCTGAAGTATTTTGAGTTGCAATATCATGATTTATATAACTTTCTCTCAGATGTTTTGGCAAAAACAGTGTACACACAGAGAGAGAGGGGAGATAAAGCAAATGTGGGAAAAGTTAACAGTGAATATAGATGTTTTTCTTTGTCTTTTAACCTTTCTCTAGGTTTAAATTTTTTTATTAATTAAATCTTTATTGTTCAGATTATTACATTTGTTCCTCTTTTTCCCCCCCATAACTCCCCTCCACCCAGCTCCCACCCCACCCTCCTCCCTCACTCCCCACCCACTGTCCTCATCCATAGGTGCACGATTTTTGTACAGTCTCTTCCCACATCCCCCTCACTTTTCCATTCATTTTTAAAGAGAGTAGAAGGGACGGCGAGAGACAGATAGAAACATCAATGTGAGAGAGACATGTTCAACTCAGGTAAGTGCCCTTGACCTAAATCGAGCCTGGGACCCTTCAGTCTGCAGATTAACACTCTACCCACTGAGCCAAACCAGCTAGGGCTGTCCCCTCTTTCTTGCCTAGGCTAAAGCTCAAGGATGTACACCAACTCAGAAAGCACTTTAGGATGATGAAAGCCTTTAACAGACATACTTCCTCCTTTGTTCCCCTAAACACCCTTGTGAGATGGAAGGAGTATCATCTCTTCTTTTTAAAATATATTTTTATTGATTTCAGAGAGGAAGGGAGAGGGAGAGAGAGAAACATCAATGATTAGAGAGAATCATTGATCAGCTGCCTCCTGCAC